TCTGCCTTTCAGGAGCCCCAAACACATTTCTCTTTCTGGAGCCACTGGTGAGACCAGAAAGCCACGGGGAGCATCCAGAATCATGATGTCAGAGCTGGAAGACCTCCGAGAAAGGAAGAGGCAGCGCGAAGTGGTTCAGAGCATGGGCTGAAGTGTCAGAATGAGGGGTCTCCAATCCTGGCCACACCACTTCCCCACTGGGTGATTTGGGGCAAGTTCCAAAATCCCTACGGGCCCTAGTTTTCTCAGTTGTAAAAATGAGGAAGAGACGATTGCTGACTTCATATGGAATGAGATGACCCCTTGTAAAGCACTTAGGACACTTCCAGGCACATAACGAATGGTCATTGTCTGAAGGCTATTACTATTTTTCTAGTTCTGCAGTTTTACAGTCCAGGAGCCTGATGGCCAGAAAGGAAGCACAGCTCATTCGTTATCCACCCAATCAGGGCGACTTCCCAGGCAGCGCTGTGCCAAAGGCGTGTCCTGTGGGATCAAGGCCCGGCCATTAACTGTGCCAGGAGAGGGAGAATGGGCAGCACCACCCTCGCTGTGGGGTTGGAGCTTTGAGAGTGTGTGCAAAACAAGGCATAGATCCCACCTAACCAACCCCCCCCCCCCAAGAGGAAGTTCCTTCCTACTGGCATAATTTATTTTGTCATGAACAAAGGCTAAGGAGGCCCTTTCTAATATGTTGGCTTGGACTTAAACTTATCACAGCCACAATGGCTTATTGTGGACCTGTTCTCACTTGCTGAATCGAATGCATTATTATGATCGCTGAGCAACGAGGGGTCGGGAGCTAAGTACCTGGGGGTGGAAAGCTAGGTTTTTGAGATCAGAGGGACAGTGTCGGGGAGAGGAGCAGCTTCAGGTTTCCAGGCTCAGTAACGTCTAGGCCTCAACGCGCTGTGGAGCTGCCATTGCCTCTAAGATTTCAGGGAGGGGTCTGGCCCTTGAACCGGCCCCACCAAGGCCTGGGCAGCAGTCCCGTTTCTGGTGACCTTCATGTCGGCTGTGGGACTGGGCTTTGCTTTGTTTTGTTGTTTATTCCCCCGCAGCAGGGTGGCCTTTCCCCGCTTCTGGGTGGGAACTGGGGGAGGGAGGGTGGTTCGCTCCCATCTCCGCAGCTGTGTTTACACTTCCCCTGTCAGGGACTGTCTGGGGCCCAACCTTTCCTCAGCCCTTTGTATCCCCCTCGGAGAAATGCTATCTGATATCCCTGTGGGCTTTGCGAGAGAGGGGCCGAGTGAGTCCCGGGGTCCCCATCCAAAGGGGGCTGGAAGGAAGGGGGGAAGGCTTCAAGGGAGGAAGGAATAGAGCAGACAGTTCTTTTTGAATTCTGGGAAACGCCACCTCCTTCCCTTTTCTGTCAGTGGCCTGAAGACCAGCAGGGCACAAAAGCACACTTAGAACCTGCTCACCCCAGAAGGAACAGAACGTGACCTGTTGTTTCTAATCACTTAGAAAAGACTGCTCTGTGCTGTGATGGGGATGTGAGTGCCCAGAGCAGTCTTTTTTCTAAGGCTTTGCCGGGGCCAGTAGTCGGAGTTACAGCATGTTGAAGCCAATAAGACCGTGCTAAAATACACACAAATTAAAAAGGATTTAAGAAAAAACGGTCAAGTAAATAATGCTCTCCTTCTCCAGGGAGCAAGCTTCGCTGGTATTAATCAGTGTAAGTAGTGTTGCCAGACTCTCAGCCAAGCCCAGGGGAACGGCTGCCAAGGCAAATCAGGCATCAGGTTTCAGAAATTAAGCACATAATTTTATTTTTCCGCAATAGGGACTTTTCATAAAAAGGATCACTCTATTAGGCTACTCAGCACACTCTGTCCAATTTCTTTCAGCCCCCAAAGGCCTCCAATTTAGGAACGAGATGAGCAACTAGAAGCCAGGAGTGACACAGTTATTCCTTTCTCTTATTCACTGCCTGGGGGTGGGGCTGGGAGGAGTGGGGCAGGGGTAATGGTACTGTTTTTCAAAGGTCCCGTTGCTGACCACTTGCCAACCACTTTTCCACGAATTTATAGGACAAAGACCTGAAGGGCTGGAAAAGAAACAGTTGTAAAGGAAGAGTGGGCCAAAGATTGCCTGAGAGTTTCTCATGAGCCACAGTCAGCTAGGAAAGAGTCTGGTCTTGGGAAAAATTCTCTCCCATCACAACGAGGAGGAACCAATTGGCAGACAAATTTTCCCCAACAACCCCATGCCTGTTGGTGATGTGGAAGTTTTTTGTTTTGTTTTTTAAAGATATTTTATTGGCCGAAACCGGTTTGGCTCAGTGGTAGAGCGTCGGTCTGCGGACTGAAAGGTCCCGGTTCGATTCTGGCATGTACGTTGGCTGCGGGCACATCCCTGGTAGGGGATGTGCAGGAGGCGGCTGGTCGATGTTTCTGGCTCTCTATCTCTCTCCCTTCCTCTCTGTAAAAAATCAATAAAATAAAATAAAATAAAGATATTTTATTGATTTTAATTTATTGATTTTTTACAGAGAGGAAGGGAGAGAGAGAGAGAGCAAGCCAGAAATATCAATGAGAGAGAAACATTGATCAGCTGCCCCCTGCACACCCCCTACTGAGGATGTGCCCACAACCAAGGTACATGCCCTTGACCGGAATCGAACCTGGAACCCTTGAGTACGCAGGCCGATGCTCTATCCACTGAGCCAAACCGGTTTTGGCTGGAAAGTTGTTTTTATAATCCTCCAGTGCACAAGGATTACTAAACCCTGGGTTTAGTCCTAAGCCAAGTATCGTGGATATGAAAAAGATATGCAGTGAGACAGTGAGTGGAAAAGTTGTACTGGAACCCTGGCCAGTGTGGCTCAATGTATTGGGTGTCCTCCAGGGCATCAAAAGGTGGCTGGTTCCATTTTGGGTCAGGGCACATGCCCAGGTTTCGGGCTTGATCCCCTTGGTGGGGTGGGGGGTGAGGGGGTGCGGGAGGCAACCTATGTTCTGCTCTCACATGATGCTCCACTCTCATATCGATGTTTTTCTTTCTTTCTCCGTCTCCCTTCCTCTCTCTCCTAAAAAAAAATAATAATAATAAATAAAAATAAAATCCATTAAAAATATTTTTAAAAAGTGGTACTGGAGTTGCAGCAAGAGAGATCCAGGAGGGCTGCAAGGAGGAGGTGGATGGAGCTTGAGCTGGGCCACAGAACTCGGATCTACAACTTTGACATAAATTCCCTCACCTTCCTTCGTTTCCAACCTCAAAATATTTCTGTAACCATATTTTCTTTGTTATTGCAAAATTTCTTTATATTTCCTTGTAATACTCTCTTAAAGCAATGTGTCTACTCCCATGATGTTAGTTACCATCCATATGTTGATGGTTCCCAAATTCCTCTCCAATATCAGTCCTGACAATCAGATTTTCTGAACATCTCTGCTTAGATACCCCACTTCCTTCCTTTCTTTCTTTTTTAACAAATGAAGTGTTTAATCCTCATCTGAGGATGTTTTCTCATTGGTTCTTAGAGAGGTGGAAGGGAGAGGGAGAGACAGAGAAAGAAATATGGTTGTGAGAGAGAAACATTGCACATGCATTCCAACCAGGGCCGGGGATTGAGCCTGCAACTGAGGTATGTGCCCTTGATCAGAATCGAACCCTGGACCTTTCAGTCTTCGGGCTGGCTCTATCCACTGAGCAAAACTTACTAAGGCTAAATAATTTTTTAAAATATATTTTTTATTGATTTTAGAGAGGAAGGGAGAAGGAGAGGGAAAGAGAGATAGAAACATCAGTGATGAGAGACAATCATTGATTGGCTGCCTTCTGCACCCTCCCTTCTCCTCCCCTTCTCTTCCCCCCCTACCCCTCCCCCCAATAGGGATTGAGCCTGAAACCTGAGCATGTGCCCTTGACCGGAGTTGGAATCGAACCCAGGACCCTTCAATCTGTAGGCCGATGCTCTATCAGGCTAGGGCTAAACCTGCCAGGGCTAAACATTTTTTATGTAGTGTAATGGTTTTCAAACTTAGTCACACAGTGGAATCCCTGGGATGTTCTGAGAACTTGTGAAGCCCAGACCATACCTCAGAGGTAGGCATCAGTTATTAAAGTTCCCCACTTATTTGTTTCAATGTGAGTCAAGTTTGAGAATCACTGATCTAGAAGGAATTGGGAATGGAAAGGAATATTACTGCAAATGACCAAGTATGAAGGAATTTTGTCTTTATTTGGTAGTTAATTACACAGAAGCAAGAGAAAAACAGCAAGGTTTCTGATAAAAGTAAAACAAAAACAAAAAATCCCACTAAATTGGGAATCCTGAGACCTGAGTTTAAGACCTAAAAGAGTAATTTTTCAACTGTGTAAGGCGAGTTTTTAACTCCTTTAGCCAGAATAGTCTCATGCAGAAAACTGAAATCCTCCCTACCTACTTCATAGAATTGTCATGAAGATTATTTTAAAAAATAAACATTAGCCCTAATCAGTTTGGCTCAGTGGATAGAGCGTCAGCCTGCGGACTGTGAGGTCCTAGGTTCGATTCCGGTCAAGGGCATGTACCTTGGTTGTGGACACATCCCCCCAGTAGGGGGTGTGCAAGAGGCAGCTGATGGATGATTCTCTCTCATTGATGTTTCTAACTCTCTATTCCTCCCTCTTCCTCTCTGTAAAAAAGTCAATAAAAAATATATATATATTTTATTTTTTAAAACTGTCCCCTGATAGTGTCATTTCTTAAACCATCGGACTGGGGTTGTACCACCTCCACTCCAGGGTACAGGTGTTGGTGCCCAATAAGGAAGCCCAGGTAACGGACCCGCAGGGCGGGCGGCGCAGTGCGCAGGCGCCGGAGGAGCACGGGGCGGGGCGCGGCGCGGGTGGGGCGGAGCCGCGGCGCGGGTGGGGCGGGGCCGAGGCGCGGGTGGGGCGGGGCCGCGGCGTGGGGGTGGAGCCGCGGCGCGGGGGCGGGGCCGCGGCGCGGGGGCAGGGGCGGGGCCGCGGCGCGCAGGCGTGCTGGCGGACGGCGCCTGCGGCTCGGGATGGAGGGTGAGTGAGTAAACAAGCCCGGGCCGGGCGGTGGGGCCGGGCCTCGGCACCTCGCCACCCGGTACCTCGGAGAGGAAAAGGCGGAGGGCTCAGGGAACTGAGAGGAAGCGGAGGGCACAGCGCCTGTCTGCCGGGGTAACGGGGCGGACACCCCCCCGATTCTGGGGGCTGAAGGAGAGGGAGTGACGGGCCGGCGAGCCCCCGGCGAGGACCACATCTGGGGCCGGGAGGGCGGTGTGTCCGGGAGGAGGAGCGGCGGGGGCGGGCCCGGGACGGGACGGGAATCCCGTTGGAGGGCGGGGTGGGCCAGGTGGGCGGGGGCCCCGGCGCAGGGAGGGCGTGAGTGGGCGGTGGCACCTGCGGGGACCCCTCCCCGCGACCTGGGGCTGTGCCCGGGGAGGGCCGCACACCCGGCCGCAGCTCGGGAGGTGCAGTGGAAAACAGGGCCGGGGCCGGGGTGAGGTGAGCGAGGTCCTAAGGTGTAAAATATCAGGGGGCGCTCCCTCTCGGGGTGCAGCCGGTGCGGAAGCCTCCTTAGGTTTTGGGGCTGGGCGCCGCTCGCCTCCTCAGTCCCAGCCCCGAGTGAGAGGCAGCTTCTCTCCAAATTTGGTTTCCCGACCATCCCTGCCCACCCCGAATTCTCCCCGGGATCAAACGGTAGAAGGGAAAGTTCCTTGAAGCAAAAAATAAAAAATTTAAAGCAAGGTGTTGTATTTGGGACATGCCCGTTAGCAAATGTGGGACAAACTTATTTTGGTAAAAAAGTGACTACTACCGAGACATTGTTTCGGGGTCCGGGGGGAGGGGAGGGATAGGGAAGGATGTTAGCGACGCCGGTGGGATATTGAGAACGTTCGGGCTTTGAGGTGAAATGTAAATTGGTAAAGGGAGTAGCTTAGGTGTGGAGCCTAGCGCGAGAGGAGGAGGAAAAGGAGGGCGTAGGAGGACCGCCTTGTAAGCGTGGTCTGTTCCCCCGCGTCTTTGAAGAGAAAAATCCCCCACCTGGTGCCTCTAAATTTAGGAAACCAGCATTGCATGAAGTTTCCAGCCCGAGAAGGTGCTGTAAGACGTTCTATAAGAGCCTGGCTGTTTTAAGTCTTGGAGTCCCCAGGGCTAGGATGTGTCATTGAAACAGATGACTTAGTTACATAAAAGAAAGTGTGTGTTCGGAGATAACTAGCTTTTTGTAAACACAGTTACAATAAAGGAAAGGACTATCTATAAAGTTGTAATAATAACATTATTGCCAAGGTTTATATTGCGTGTGTGCGGCGTCACAGTGTCAACTCTCCCGGGGCAGGGATGTTTGTCTGGCTTATTCACTAAGCACCCAAACAGTGCCAGGCACTCAGTATATATTTGTGGAATGCATAAAGAGTGCACACATCTCTGGGGCTGGCAGTTGGCGATCTGGATCCTGATTCTGCTACTAACTGGCTGAGTAGTTGTAGGCCAGTGGTCGGCAAATTCCTTAGTCAACAGAGCCAAACATCAACAGGACAACGATTGAAGTTTCTTTTGAGAGCCCAGATTTTTAAACTTAAACTTCTTCTAACGCCACTTCAAAATAGACTCCCCCCGGCCGTGGTATTTTGTGGAAGAGCCACACTCAAGGGGCCAAAGAGCTGCATGTGGCTTGTGAGCCACAGTTTGCCGACCTTGGTTATAAGCCAGTCATGGACCTTATGCTAAAACACAGCTTTAAAACCGGCTGAGGTTGAAATTACTTCTTCATTATGGTATTATTTGATTTCTCTTTGAAACAGCATTAGAATAAGGAGCCTAGGATTAAAAAATGAAATTTACTCTCAGTCACTTTTGTGAGAAGGGAATGGGGGAGAAATGTAGTTGGACTGGTGTCTCTCACCTTACTTGCCTTTGAATTAGCATGCCTTTTAAAAAGTATTTGATATATTATTTTTTTCTATTTAACTTTTGATATCTGAAATCTGGCTTCCTTTTCCTGTGGGTAACTGTTTTTGTTCCTGTTCATGCTTTATATGAAACATGTAACAATTTATCTAATTAAGTAGAATGTGTTTTTCCTGTCTTGAACTGTTTTAAAATTTTCTACTTTGTTAACTATTATAGCAACTGCCAAAAATGTGTTGGAGGCATCAACACTAAAAACACATTACAGCCCTGGCTAATGTACTCAGTGATTAGAAAGTCCGGGTTCTATTCCTGGTCAATCAATGTCTCTCTCACATTCCCCTCTTTCCCTCCCTCCTCCTCCCTCTCTCCATTTCCTCCATTCCTCTCCCCTTTCCTCTCTCCTTCTCCTCCTCTCACCTCCCTTCCTCCCTTCCTCCCACACTCTAAAGAGCAATAGAAAAAAATGTCCTCTGGTGAAGATTAACAAGGCAAAAACAAAACAAATATATATTACATTTCTACATAGCGTAGTTTAAAGAGAAAAAAAGGTATGTGGAGAAAGGTGAAGAGAATTATACCAGTTAGATTAGGATTGAGGGGAGAATTTAAAAAAAGAAAAGCTGCTCTTAGGGAATACCTCCATTCGAGAAAGTCCCAGTTTTTTTCCTTTTTAAATTTGTTCAGATTGTGCTTTGGGCTCTTTTATACCTTTGCAATCCATCAAACTGTCAGTTAGGACTTCAGTGCTCTAAACCCAAAAGTCAAGAATTACTTAACGGATAATTGGAGTTAAGTGCTTCTGGTGTGTTGTGTTCTCTGACACACTTACCCTAATACTTTGTTTCAAAATAGAATAATTAAAACTATCTTGTTTAATTGAGTGATAATGAGCAGAATTAAGTATTAATCACTAAGTATTAAACTTCGTGCTAGTGTAGTACAGAATCAGCCAAGATGGAACTGATTCTGTTAGGAGATTGCTTTAACTATTATAAATCTCTAGAGGCCCAGTGCATGAAATTTATGCACTGGTAGGGTCTCTAGGCCGGAGATCAGGGCCTCCTTTCCCTGGCTTCTGGCTAGGGCCTCCCTTCCTTGGCTGCTGGCTGATGATCATTGCCTTTCTTAGTCCCTGCTGCCTCCTGGTGGTCAGTACCCATCATAGCGAGTGATGAGTCTTCCTATTGAACTCCTATGGGGACAATTTGCATATTAGGCTTTTGTATATATAGAATATATAGATTATTGTATATTTGTTGGGTCTCATAAAAATTAATACTGCTTTGAATTTTATTACCATTGTCTCTACTGCAGATGACCTTATTTTCTTAATAAAATAATACTAAAAAGTATTAGTGGTATAATTTGATATTAAATAAGGATTCAGGGGAAAAATTTCACAGCTTTCTGATTCTGAGGGTTTTTTCCTATGTGTATGGTGCCCAGAATCTCAAACTAACAAATATAAATATCTTGGAGGAGTGGAAGAGTATAAATTAAAGATGTGTTTAATAGATCTTAGTTGAAGGATCGATCATTATATACCTAGCCGCAGAGTTGATTCTAACAGGAATGTTGATGAAATTGGTCATCACCAGAATAACTCATTGTGCTTTACCAGAGCTGTTGGCAGAAGTAGATTCACCCCTATTGTTTATGTTTCAACACCACCATAAACTGAAAAGGAGAGGATGAGATGAAAAATTTAAACATCTACAGTGCAGTTTACCCAGGCATTAACAAAAATTATTTGTTCTAAAAGAGAAAGTAGTAAAGAACTTGACCCTAAGATAAGCTTCTGTAAACAAACACCTTTATGTGGATGAAAGAATTTCATAGTTTGGAACTTTTATATTCTGATTTCAGTCTCTCTGAGTTTAAGGATATTGTTCCTTAAATGTTTTATCTCCAAATATTTCAATAATGTTTTCCCGTTTTCAACTAATGATAAACTACATTCTAGGTTTAGCCTTTGAAGCAAATTGAGAGCAATTTTCTGTGGAAAGACTTCCAAGTTTTTATAGCTTTCTTTTCCTGAAGATATCTGACTTGTAAATAGGTAGTTAACATTTCCAGTTATCAATTTTTAAAAAATACAAACCTTATTTTCTTAAAACAGTTTTAGATTTACAAAAAAATTATAAAGATATTACAGTGAGTTCCCATATAACCCACATCTCGTTTCCTGTATTATTAACATCTTACTGTGGTATACATGCAACATTTTTTTATAGTGATTGAACCAATATTGATCATTCTACTATTATTCATTTTGAAGTTGTTTTTTTTAAGGTGAGATTGGCCCTGGCCGGTTTGGCTCAGTGGATAGAGTGTCTGCCTGCAGACCCAAGGGTCCTGGGTTCGATTCAGCCAAGGGCATGTAACTTGGTTGGGGGCACATCCCCAGTAGGGGGTGTACAGGAGGCAGCTGATAGATATTTCTCTTTTCTTTGATGTTTCTGGCTCTCTCTCCTTTTTCCTTCCTCTCTGTAAAAAATCAATAAAATATATATTTTTTAAAAGGTGAAATTGCCTACTATTTTTAATAGTAAATCTCTTGGAAATACTAGATTAACAGGTCATCAAGAAAGACTTATTTTTTCTTTAATCAGCATTATTGGGGTAAAAATTTATGTACAATAAGTTAATAATTTATGTATATAGTACAGCAAGTTTTCATAAAAGTACATAGTCAAATCACCATCATCAAAACCAAGTTATGAAACATTTTTATCATCCCAAAAAAGTGCCTTTATGCTCCTTTCCTTAAAAACAAAAAAAACAAAACATGTTTGAAACCTGTTTGGCTCAGTGGATAGAGCGTTGGCCTGCGGACTGAAAGGTCTGAGGTTCGATTCCAGTCAAGGGCATATACCTTGGTTGTGGGCACATCCCCGGTAGGGGGTGTGCAGGAGGCAGCTTGATCGATGATTCTCTCTCATCGATGTTTCTACCTCTCTATCCCTCTCTCTTCCTCTCTGTAAAAAAAAAACAATAAAATATATATTTTTTAAAAATGTTTGTATTGACTTCAGAGAGGGAGAGGGAGAGAGAATTAGAAACATCAGTGATGAGAGAATCATTGATTGGCTTTCTCCTGCACATCCCCTATTGGGGAGCAAGCCTGCAATCCTGGCATGTGCCCTGACTGGGCATCAAACAGTGACCTCTTGGTTTCTGGGTCAGTGCTCAACCACTGAGCAACACCGTCTGAGCTATGCTCCTTTCCTTTTTTATTTTAGAGGGGAAGGGAGGAGGAGAGAGAGAAACATCAATGTGAGAGGTGAGAGAGACACATGGATCGGTTGCACCCCAACCAGGCGTGACCAAAGCCAGAGGAAGCCTACAACCTAGGTATATGCCTTTGACAGGAATCAAATCTTACATATTTAACTTTTTTTTTTTTTTTGACTGGCCGACTGTTTTCCAAAGTGGCTGTACTATTTTGCATTTCCACCACCAATGTATGAGGATACCAATTTGCTCCATATCCTTACCAACAATTGATATTTTCAATCTTTTTTATTTTTGCCATTTTAGTGGGTTGTAATAGTACATCCTTGTGGTTTTGATTTGCATTTCTCTAATGACTTAATAGAATTTAGCATCATTTTGTGTGCTGTTTTGCCATTTCTATATCTTTTTTGGTGCAGTATCTACTCAGATTTTTTTCTTTTGTCATTTTTATCGGGTTGCTAATCTTATTGAGTTTTGACATTATTTATATAAATATTTTTAAACTTCTTGACCAAAACAGTATGTTTTAAAGTTTATTTTCAATGTATAAGTGAACTAAATGAACATAATAAAAAGCTCTTAAATAATAGCTTAGTAGTTAACTGACATATAAATGTTGTTTTGCACGTCTAAGAACTAAAGAACAAATCTAGTAGAAATATAAGGTATTTTTAAAAATATATTTTATTGATTTTTTACAGAGAGGAAGAGAGAAGGATAGAGTTAGAAACATCGATAAGAGAAAATCATCAATCAGCTGCCCCTTGCACACACACCCCCTCCTCCTACTGGGGATGCGCCCACAACCAAGGTACATGCCCCTGATCAACCAAGTTACATGCCCCTGATCAGAATCGAACCTGGGACCTTTCCGTCCGCAGGCCGACCCTCTATCCACTGAGCCAAACCGGTTTGGGCTATAAGGTATTTTTTATGTGCCATTCTCATTGCCCAAGATGTATGAGCCTCTTTCTCCAAATCTGCTCTAGGGAGTGCTTAGTGTTTTGTTTGTTTGCTTTAAAAAAAAACACAAAACTGAAGTGATAGTTGTTGGTTAGTGTCCAGATGCTTTGAGAACCAGTCTTCTGGCTGTGTTTCAGGTGTTTATTTTAATCATACCTATCTGTTCCAAATAGAATGTCTCATCTTCCTCATACACTGTGTGGGGACTAACTGCCAAATAAACTTTTAGAAACATTGAAGACCCATTAAAAAGCAAAGCAAAATAAATATTACTTCACAGTCACATGAAATTCAAATACCATTTTTATTGTAAAAGGAGGAAGTGTGACTTATTTTACATTATGGTTGGTTAAAATAATGGCATTTTCGTGTATATGTGTATACTGTCATCTCTTGATAGGCTGTAGGATATTACATGTCAGTTATAACTCCTTTCTTTAATAAAATATGTTGATATTTCTCTGTGGCCATCTTCTCTAAGAAATCTACACACACACATACACACTGGAAACTGTGGATTATATTCTTTTCCATTACTTGATTCCAGTTTCAAATGGATACAGCAAACTGCCTTAAGCTCACTATTTCAAAAAGGGAAATGAGTTCCAAAAAGAATAAGAGATTGCAATTAAAACCCATTTTTAAAGGAGGTTATGATGATTCACCAAATTGTGATCCACAATGTTTGAGTCATTTGCATCTCAATAAGAATAACCTAATGTTTCTCAGGGAGTCACTTTTGTCTTATATTTGGACCATTTTTTCATTTCCTGGAGTAGACTATCCATTGTTCGGCAGACAGTATATGAACAACTACTTAATATTTCATGTGAATGTGATGTTTAGTTTTATCAGTCAAAAAGAGGCCCTATTTTGACCCCATTTCGTAGAGGAATGAGAACTATTTAAGAGATGTAGGCGGAAGAGAGAGGTGGGGCAATTTGTAGGAAAGAAATTCAGGTCAGCTTAACTTTTTATAGCCCATCATTTTAGCACTCTTGGGTTCAGATTCCTAGATTATGTTGTGTCATTCCCTTCTTCCAGAGAGATAATGATTAACTCACAGGGAATTCTGTTTTTATAAGCTTGAATCACTTGGTTGTGAAACAGTGAATCTATCTGTGTTTTGCTATTCCTTCCTTCCTTTACTTATCCTCTAAATTTCTGATAGCATTATACCAGTCTCTGTGCCTGAGATGACATGATCATGATCTGATTGTGGCGTATGTGTGACAGTGGGTTAAAATTTGCTGTTTTCTTGTCTGTGCTATCAATTCTTATGGGGAAAAGCAGGTAATTTCAAAATGATCCATTAGGAAAAATATGATATTGAACTCCAAAAGAAAATGTGATATAAAACTCCAAAAGAAACTAAAAAAAAAAGGTCTGAAACTTTAGTTTCTGTTTCAGATTTTCGCTCTTCATAGCTCCTTGTAATATATTCAGAAACTTAAAATTTTAGGTGAAATGAATTAAACTAGTTCTCTAGGAAACCTAAATAGTTTTTACTACAGAGTAAAAAACATATTCCTGTAAACTTTATTGAATTTTCACATGCACACAAAATTTGTTCTTTCTCTAAAATATCTATGGGTGGCCTGCAAGTTAAGCCTAGAAACTGGTTCAGAAAAGCAAAATAGTAAATTTGGTAATTTTGAGAATATATTTGTACACATGACTGGAAGGATAGAGTTTAAAGGACCCTCCCAATGGCATCAGGTGTTAGTCAGACCTGATTTACATACAGAAATAATGGTAGCGGAGAACTCAAACTCTTCATAGTTATGGAAGAGCATCCTGCTGAAAGTATCAGGTTCTAAATATGCTCCACTGACTTAAACATTGTTCTATTCTCTTGAAAAGCTGAATATTTGTATTGCCTTTATGCCTTACCATTCCTCTGAAGAACAGAAGGCATATTATATTGGACACTTCTGCTTGCATTCTGAGGTAGGTAGAGTATAAGTACTTCTTTAAAACTGACTTTTTATTTAAACACACAAAGTTATTTACAGTGTTATGTATTTTTAAATTTCTTGTTGACTTTGAGATGTAATTATGCTATTGTCATGTCCACCTTTATTGCTAAGGATCTGGTAGATTTAGATAATTTGGCAGGTACAGTTTTATAGTGTGGATATTTCCATGCACCTCTTTGATATTAATTTAATTCTTGCTGAACATTTCTCTTAATCATGGCAATAAGTAGGCTTCAAAATTTCCAGGTAATCCAAGTTTCTAAATATCTGAGACAACTTTTTTTCTTTTAAAAAAATATATTTTATTAATTTTTTTACAGAGAGGAAGGGAGAGGGATAGAGAGTTAGAAACATCGATGAGAGAAGCATCGATCAGCTGCCTCCTGCACACCCTTTACTGGGGATGTGCCTGCAACCAAAGTACATGCCCTTGACCAGAATCAAACCTGGGACCCTTCAGTCTGCAGGCTGAAGCTCTATCCAGTGAGCCAAACTGGCTCGGGCTAAGACAGCTTCTTGAGGTATGGGAGGAGGCGGCTGCTAAACATATCCCCCCCCCCCCCCCCGCATTCCCCCTCTCCCCCCGCCTTCCCTCTGGCCTGCAGAACATCTTCCATCTGTGTCCACTCAGTTGGGGGTTAGGGTGGTAATAAGATCAGGAATTGCAGACATGAAATCTTTTCAGTGAAACTTCCTGTTGAACTCATGGATTTGGGTTCTTTAACTATATGTTTTTAAAAATAAATATAGTAGGAATGAAAGTATAACTGACAGTGGTTGAGTTTGAGGAATGCTTCATTTCCAGGCTGTAAAATGCTATTTCTCATCTCTGTCTCTCTTAGATTACAGCAAAATGGATATACCAAATGCCCCAACTTCCAAATGTATCACTTATTGGAAAAGAAAGGTTAAGTCTGAATACATGAGACTTCGACAACTTAAACGGCTTCAGGCAAATATGGGTGCAAAGGTAAAAAATAATTTCCAAGCGAAAGGTTCTGTATTTTCACATATTGATCCATTGTGGAGAGGTGGAATTTTTTCCAGCTTTTCTCTTGAAATCCTAACTACTTTTTTCTTGCCTTTGCTAGGCTCTGTATGTAGCAAATTTTGCAAAGGTTCAAGAAAAAACCCAGATCCTCAACGAAGAATGGAAGAAGCTACGTGTTCAACCTGTTCAGTTGATGAAGCCTCTGAGTGGGCATCCTTTTCTCAAAAAGGTACTTCTGGGTATCTACGCTCAGCCTTCCCTTCTTCCTTGGGCTTGTCTTTGTGATTAGAAAATCAGCAAAGATAATGGATACAGTTGTTATAATGAACTTTGAATAACCGGAATGGTAAAATTGTAGCTTAAAGAACTTTTTTTGCCTATTGCTTTCCTCTGTTAATGAGCATAATCCTGAGTTTTTCATAGATAAAAAACAAGACATTTGCTGTCTACTTTCCTGGGTTGTGTGTTCAAGCTTCAAATCAACCATTTTTTTGTGCCTTGTTTGGCACTTTCCTCTTTTTGATATTGGAAAAAAGAATGCCTTGGATAATGGACAGGAATATATTGATCAAAAGGATATCCCTTATTGTAAATTTACACATAATAGTTTCCTAAAGAGATAAGAATTTTAAAATATAAAAGTCAGGGAGTATAAAGAGAATAACTTTATTTTCCAAAGCAAAATATGACTATACTTTCTTTTGCTTCCCCCTGTACTGTCCGCATTACCTGTGCAGCTAAGTTGTGGTCTGCTGCCTTAAAGTTTAGGTCTTCAGGAAAACTTCCTCATCTTCCTCCTCATCTCTTAGGACTTTCAGAGGTCCTTTGCTCTTATGTACAGCCCAAGGAGACCAACAGTTTTAGGTTGAAATAAACATCAAATGTGGGATTTGAAATAAACATCATTGAGTATGTGCTGGATTCAGTAGAGGATACAGAGGTGAATAAGAGATAGTTTCTACTTTCCACAGGTTTATAGCGGTTTCTTTTAGAAGCTGTTACAAAACCCTCAGCTTCTCTGTTTGAAAGAACTAGAAGAGTACTGGGATCATTCTGGAAGGAAACCCCAATTCTTTCTAGTTGTGTGCTTGCCTTTCCCTCTCCATATCATTGTTTATATTTCAGTGTACCATTGACAGCATTTTCCCGGGATTTGCAAGCCAACATATGTTAATGCGGTCTCTGAACACAGTTGCATTGGTTCCCATTATGTATTCCTGGTCCCCACTCCAGCAGAACTTTATGGTATGTATTGAAAGTAATGTGATAATTGTTTAAACTATGATTTTCTTAAGTTAATATGCTGGCACTCCTCTTAAGGTAAATATTGTCCAAGTATATGTAACAAAGATTGAATATGCAGGGCAGAATGCTTTTAGAGTAATTTATTTACTCTAAAAAGTATATTGCAAGTTGCTCTAACTTGGTAGGTATTGTGTGCTCTGAACTATACCTCTGCACTGATGATGGTTCTTTTTTTTTTTTTTTTTGTTCTTTTTTTGAATGAGTGAGACTGGGCAAGACTCCAGTTTTCCCTTACTACCTTGTCCAGTTTTATAACATGTGCAATTAAATGCAGTCTAAGTCAGACACTTGAGGCTCAAGCAGGTTGACAACTCCCTGCTGATGGCTCAATCCTTTCTAAATCCTCTAAAGTCAAGATGCTATGAAAGCAACTGAGATAGATGAGATGCACAGGGACCCACAACCTTTCATCTGGCCTTTATGCTGACTCCTACTAGGCTTATTTGTGGTACTGATAAGCAGTCTCTAAATACTGCCATAGCTTATCATCTGCCTGGTGACAGATAACAGTTCAGCAGAATAAAATATGGGTTTACAGAAGGGAATCATCAGAATCAAATTTCAGAGTAATTTTACTCTGATACTTGATGATTTTAAGAATGACTGTGCTCTCTGTTGAATCAAAAAAAGAAAAAAGCCATTAGTATCGCTTATTATTACCAGAAAATATTGTAGTTCATGCACTGCAATTGACTTTAGGTTCCCACCGAGTGCACGTGACATGAATTATTATCATATTTGTTATTATGATTATCAGCGTGGTTAGTCTTAGAGTATATAATAAAATACCCAAAAATTCATGGTTGCCCAGTTTCTGTTCTAAATATTTTAGTTATATTGCAGATTATATTTTTGGAAGCCTTCCATCTCATTTAATCTCTATGTACGAGAAGAATTAGGATTGAAGACTTTTTAAACTGTTGTTTAGGTGATATTCATGTTTATTGAATAAAAAAGTGATGATGGAATCACTGTGAAAAACAAACGTACTACCAAATTTTAGTTGTTAGTGGAAATATCTTTATTAGTATCATGCAAAATGTTTGGTAGTTAATATCCTCCCGTAGTTAAACTTACTCCCCTCCCCCCCCCGGAAAAAAAAAAAAAAAAGTAGCATTGCCCTCTTCATTTGAGGTTTTATTGACAAAACAAAATAACCAGGTTTTTGTTATAATAATCAGGCCACTGTGACCAAAGACATTTTCAGGAGATTCAGGTAGCAAAAATGCTCAGCAAGTATTTCATTAAGTAGAAAAGAGGAGGTGCATAGTAGATTCATGGAAGAAATCACATCTGGTTTGATTTCAGGTAGAAGATGAGACAGTTTTGTGCAATATTCCCTACATGGGAGATGAGGTGAAAGAAGAAGATGAGACTTTCATTGAAGAGCTGATCAATAACTATGATGGGAAAGTACATGGTGAAGAAGGTAATGGTGCTGGGCTCTTGGTGAGAAAACTGTTAGTATGGTGCATCTTCTTTGGTCTATTATCTTCCTCTTATCTCCTGCCTTATGATGTACACACTAAAGAATATTTCAGTGTAGCCCTAACCGGTTTGGCTCAGTGGATAGAGTCAGCCTGCGGACTGAAAGGTCCAGGTTCGATTCCTGTCAAGGGCATGTACCTTGGTTGTGAGCACATTCCCAGTAGGAGGTGTGCAGGAGGCAGCTGATTGATGTTTCTCTCTCATCAATGTTTCTAACTCTCTTTCCTTCTCCCTTCCTCTCTGTAAAAAAAATCAATAAAATATATATTTAAAAAAATATTTTAGTGTAATCACCTGGCTGAGAGTAGAAATTTTATAATAAAGAATTTCCAGTTAAATTGTAAAAGGAGTTTGGACATAAAAGGATCATATGGTAATCAGTGATGTGAGAGAAAGTTCAGTGTACAAATAAGTTTGATTTTGGAAGTTTTTCGTAAATCCATCCTAAGACATTTCTCTTCATTTTCCTTTCTCTGAGAATGGCAATGATCATAACCTCTCTGTCCTATGGCCTTGATCAAGATATCCCCTGTATCTCTCAGAAATTGATTATAATATCCTGACGTTCCTAAAAGAAAGTAATTTGGATTTAGTTGTAGTTTTAGAAGTAGTTTTTGAAAAGGCTGTTAGGGTACAAGAACTGGAAAGTTAGGGAGAGACTCCCCATGGATTTGCTCTTTTGACAATTTAGGTGTTATGATGCTGTTGAATGCATTTATCCACTACGCCCTCTAGTGTCCAAAGACTTTCTCCTACGATGTAGTAAAACCCCCTATAGATGATTGTAGGAGAAGAAAAAAATGCTCTCTTTTTAGGATAGTCACTACTGACAAGTTAGCAGAAAAACCAAGTATATCTTTATTTTATCATTCTTTTTCTCTCACATTTGTATTGTTTGCACATTTATGTGAGATTTTGTGACTGTGGAAGTGAAGTACTCCAGTAAGAATAAAATTTATAAGTGTATTTTCCACTGGTGGGCTGAACTATTGAGTTGTAAGAGCCGATCAAATTATTGTAATCCCCTGGTGTCCATATAAAAATGTCCATATGTTATCCACCTGGGCCTCAGGAGTGAATACAACAAAATTTCCTAGGAGGACTAATGGAATATGAAACAACCACTGTTCATCCATTTAATCCTTATGTTTCAGAGATGATTCCTGGATCTGTCCTGATTAGTGATGCTGTTTTCCTGGAGTTGGTAGATGCCCTGAATCAATACTCAGATGAAGAGGAGGAAGGGCACAATGACACCTCAGATGGAAAGCAAGATGACAGCAAAGAAGATCTGCCAGTAACAAGAAAGAGGAAACGACATGCTATAGAAGGTAAATAGCACTTCTTCCTCATATGACTTTTTAAAGTAACAGGGAGAGGCCCTGGCCAAGAATCTAAGATGGTTAGAGCATCATCCTGGTATGCAAGGTTGCAGGTTCAATCTCCGGCCAGAGCAAATGTAAGAATCAACCAATTCCCTAAAAATCAATGGAAAAATATCCTCGGGTGAGGATCATCAACAACAAAAAAGCAGCTCTAATCAAAATGCTGTGAAGGCGGAAACCGGTTTGGCTCAGTGGTAGAGCGTCGGCCTACAGACTGAAAGGTCCCGGATTCGATTCCGGTCAAGAGCATATACCTTGGTTGCGGACACATCCCCAGTGGGGGGTATGCAAGAGGCAGCTGATCGATATTTCTAACTCTCTATCCCTCTCTATTCCTCTCTGTAAAAAATCAATAAAATATATATATTTTTTAAAATGCTGTGACAAAAGAAAAAATGACCAAACGGCTTTGTTTGCATACTCTGATTATAAATAGCACTCAGGAGCTTTTTGTCTTTTCTAATTCAGGCAACAAAAAGAGTTCCAAGAAACAGTTTCCAAATGACATGATCTTCAGTGCAATCGCCTCAATGTTCCCTGAGAATGGCGTCCCAGATGACATGAAGGAGAGGTAGGGGAAGCTGCCCCCGCAGGCCATGTAGATAATCAGGCAGAATTTTCATGTAAGCCTGTATCTGGTTAGTAAAAAGCCTTGCTTATGGTAAGTGCATAAGGATTTGCTGCACTTCTCATTATTTCTTTCTTGCCTACCCTAAATGCCCATTTCCATATTAAGGTTCATTGTTTGCTGGCTTTTGAGTAAGTCTGGGCAGAGAACTTTTTATACTTCTGCCATTTTTCTGGAGAGTTACCCTAGCACCATACTTATTAAATATTTCCCTCCCCTTCAGGCATATGCCCATCCCAGCATAATTACAGTGTTGTACTAACTCAGTTATACACCAGTCCATCAATAAGACTCAACAACTTCCATCCTCTCTTGGCCAGCTGTACCTGGATGATCCTCAGTACTCAATCTGTATTTTCTCGGTTAAGACATTACCTTGGAAGGAACTCTCATCTCTCTTTTCTTAAATAGGTACCGAGAGCTAACAGAGATGTCAGACCCCAATGCACTTCCCCCTCAGTGCACACCCAACATCGATGGCCCCAATGCCAAGTCTGTGCAGCGGGAGCAATCTCTGCACTCCTTCCACACACTTTTTTGCCGGCGCTGCTTTAAATACGACTGCTTCCTTCACCGTGAGTGGGGCTACTCTGAAATGCTCTCCTGTTTTCTATTCCCAGCCACCATTTCCTTCTCTTTATTTTAGTCTATCATATTAGAATTCCCGGCTTCTGATCTGATGATGGTTTTACAAAGAACCAATCAATTTTCACTTGTTCAGTTATAGTGCAACATGCTTTGCATGGTCGGGACAGAAAAACCAGCAACATAATTGTTTCTGACTACCGCTTAGCTTTGAAAGGATCGTGTTGATATCAGAAATGATTGGATTTTGTGCACTTTGATGGTGACTGTTTATCTCCAGATTCTCCTACACTAGCTCCCTAATTCAGTTTTGTTCCTCCCCATCCTGTCAAGTGGATGAATCGTTGGAAACAGGACAGTGTTGTGTTTTCCAGCTTTTCATGCTACCCCTAATGTATATAAACGCAAGAACAAAGAAATCAAGATTGAACCAGAACCCTGTGGCACAGACTGCTTCCTTTTGCTGGTACGTTCTTAAGCTGTTCTATTGTTAACTGTGGAAAATTGAGCAGGAAATGGTCCTTGGGCTTTCTGTCCCTGGCAACACAATCCAAGTGGGACAGTACATAGCACTTGGGGGTTATAAAGTGCAAATGAAACATGACTTCCCAGTCCATGTGGCTCAGTTGTTGAGCATTGACCTATGACCCAGGAGGTCACAGTTTGATTCCTGGTCAGGACATATGCCTGGGTTGCGGACTAGATCCCCAGTAGGGGGCATGCAGGAGGCAGCCAATCAAGGATTCTCTCTCATCATTGATGTTTCTATCTCTCCCTCTTTCTTCCTCTCTAAAATGATTAAAAATAAATAAAGCCCTTGCCAGTTTGGTTCAGTAGATAGAGCATTGGCTTACAGATTGAAGGGTCCTTGGTTTGATATGGTCAAGGGCACATTCCTCAGTTGCAGGCTTGATCCCCTGGGCGTGTGTGGGAGGCACCAGTTGATGTGTCTCTCACATCGACGCTTTTCTTTCTCTCAGTGTATTAGGACGATGCTCTAGCCAACTGAACTAGCTGGCCAGAGCTATGTTAAACATTTTGAGGAAGAATATATTATAAGTAATTCTGTGTATGTCATATGATAGCATAGGCACATAGTATCAGATTCAATTCATTTAAAAACTTCTGGGATTTCCTTTAGTGCTTACAGTATATTATTCTGAATATCCTTATTAATGGCAAATGCTTATCATTTACATGTAGTTTTAGTTTTTAGAAACAGCTAGAAATCTTTGGGGACCAAGTCTGGTAAGAAGATAGATAATCAAGCTGAATGATAGTTATTTGGTCTTTTTTAAAAAAACAAAAAAACAAACATAGCTATAAAGTAACAAAACAGTATTCCTCCAAATTTAATATGCTAGTTTGGGGGGAAGTTCCAAAATTAAGTAGTAATATTGCACAAATTCAGGGATTACATATTTTATTACTGAGACAGAAGAGTCCTAATTCTTGTACCTACTCTGGAACAATTAGCTATATACTCTCAAGCAAGTCCCTTCCCCTCTCTCAACCTCATTACCACTATAGGACAATGTGTTCTCAAGTTCCAAACAGCTAATCTGCAAATGAATTTTAGATACAGCTCACTGGAAAGTTGAAAATGCATAGGTTATATATTTTTAAGATTGCTTTATAGGTTAGCTCTTTTGTGAAGAGGTACTATATGTTTCTAAGTTTTTAGAATGTTTGCTAAATGGCTGTTAGATGATCACATTTGTATGGTGCAAAAGACAGGATCATTGCACGTAAGCACAGATACTGAAGAAGATGGTTTGTGACGATGGGATAAATATAGTGATTCTGCGCCTACTCCAGTTTCCTATGTCCATTGCAGGAAGGAGCAAAGGAATACGCCATGCTCCACAACCCCCGTTCCAAGTGCTCTGGTCGGCGCCGGCGAAGGCACCACATGGTCAGTGCTTCCTGCTCCAACACTTCAGCCTCTGCTATGGCTGAGACTAAAGAAGGGGACAGTGACAGGGACACAGGCAATGACTGGGCCTCCAGTTCTTCAGGTACAGTGAACAGAAAATGATCTCTTCTTACCACACAAGAATTCTGGTAAACCCAGGATCACCTCTAACACTTAATATTACTATTTATTATAGTAATAATAAAAGCGTGACATGCTAATTAGACTGTACAGCCGAACGATCTTCCGGACATCATTCTGGAGGTCCTTCTGGACAAAGTCGCTGCAGCAGGGTCCGAGGCAGAGAGGTTAGGAGTGATCAGGCAGGCAGGCAGAGTGGTTAAGGGCGAACAGGCAGGCAGGCAGAGGTGGTTAGAGTGATTAGGCAGGCAGGTGAACAGTTAGGGGCCACCAGGCAGGCAGACAAGTTTAAGGGTTATCAGGCAAGCAGAGGGGTTAGGGATAATCAGACAGAGAGGCAGGTGAGCAGTTAGGAGCCAGTGGTCCCTGATTACAAGAGGGATGTCCAACTGCTAGTTTAGGCCCAATCTTGCAGGATCCCTGTGGGATATGGCTTAAACTGGCAGTCAGACATCCCCCAAAGAGTGTGTAGGCCGGGCTAAGGGACATCCCCTACCCCTCCGTGCATGAATTTTGTGCACCAGGCCTCTAGTGTTTTATAAAATTGTTAATTCTGTCTTAAGGTTTATCTATAAACAGTGGAGACGGGATATTTTTATTCCTAACTAGGCTGCCTTTTAAATAAAGTACTTCTGAGTTTACAGCCAGCTACTGATGACAACTGCATTCCACCTTCTTCTGTTTCTCTTTATTTTTTTCTTTCTTAGAGGCTAATTCTCGCTGTCAGACCCCCACAAAACAGAAGGCGAGTCCAGCCCCACCTCAGCTCTGTGTGGTGGAAGCACCCTCGGAGCCTGTGGAATGGACTGGAGCTGAAGAATCTCTTTTTCGAGTCTTTCATGGCACCTACTTCAACAACTTCTGTTCGATAGCGAGGCTTCTGGGGACTAAGACGTGCAAGCAGGTACTGTCTGAAAGCGGCAGGAACAAGCTCAGGCCCTGCTTTCCTCGCTGCTGTCAGCCCTTTGCCATCCTGTAAGCTGCCTGTCTGGAGAGAAGCTGTCTCAGGCTCAGTCCCTCGTGAGTCTGTGCTTCTGGGCCATGAAGTGGGTCTCCACCCAGGCGACCTCCTGCAGAGGCCAGGCCTGGCAGTGGTGGGGTCTGCTCTCCTCCTTGCTGAATTCTTATTTATGTCTTTAGCCACGACCTAACTCTTCTGGATGTTTCAGCACACTTAGCTTCTTTTTTTGATTTCAACATTTTCTTTTAAATATGTATCCATTTCCTAGACTCCCAGGTTCTTATCTAATGTGCTCCTGCTCCTCAGCTGCAGTGCTGTTCCCGCCATCAGTCTCCTCATTGCTTTATTCTACAAATATCCTATCACAAAATTTTCTAATTATCACCCCAAAAGCTAGGCCTGGACCTCGCCCTTCTCACTCATACGCCACTAGAATCACGGTTGAAGAGTAGCCACTCATTCTCTGAAGGCAGGACAAGACTGCGGCGAGAGCATGCTGTAGAAACGGGCTAGGGAGATGGGAGTTAAAGCCAGCCCGTCCAACAAGAAAGAAACAGCAGAGCTTGTGCCCTGCTCACGGCTCCTAACTTCTAGAGGAGACTCTGTGCCCTCTTCTGCATGCTTCCTTTACCTAGAACAAGCAATAGAACCATGCATTGACCGGCCCTTTGCTTTCATTGTGGAGCTCAAGCCTATTTCCCCGAGGCACATGTTAGCAGAAAGATCTAACGAAGTAGGCCTAAACTATTTTTATGCATATTTTCCTGAGTATCTATACTTTTCACAGAATCTCAAAAAGATTTATAATATAAAAAAAGTGGAAGGGGGGGCTAAAAATGAATGCTATCAAGGAAATAAGCACAATGAAAGGGAACCAACTTTCCTGAAATGCTGTCCTACTGAAATGAGTTCAAGGCTCTGATGCCGTTACACCAACAGAGGGAGCTAGTGCTGGTGTACGTCAGGGCTTACTCAGTTACACACGGTACACAAAGTTGCCCTTCCCAAGAAGAGAGAGATACTGTTGCTAAAAGTCTGCCCACACTCAGGGTTTGGTAAGCAGAACAGTAGATAAAAGCTACTAACCAGGAAAGCTGTAACTGTGCTCACTATTTCTCCTTTCTCAAGTCAGGATAAATAAGAATTAACTTAAGAGTCACTGCCACTCTGTCTCCCTGTGACTGAAGAAATGCTCAGTCAGCTGCCTGGGAGCTATCGAGAACCCTCCTAAGCCCGGCGCCTGGCTGGGCCACTTATATGACCGCCTCGCTCAAGAAGGAGTGACAGGTTCTGTTGGATTTCTCTTCCAGGTCTTTCAGTTTGCAGTCAAAGAATCACTTATCCTGAAGCTGCCAACAGATGAGCTCATGAACCCTTCTCAGAAGAAGAAAAGAAAGCACAGGCAAGGGCTGGACAAAGCACGTTCTGTGGCAGGCTGTTCCCTGTGCTGCGACCTCCCCTTGGACTTCCCATTTGCCTCTCTCTGTAGCCACGGCCCATCCGTTCGGCATTGCGTAACCGAGGACCAGCCTTCTCATGCTCCCCGTGGGTCTGTTCCTTGGCCCAGCCTTTCTCCTGATCATGAGCTAACTTTGGTTTTCTGTTTAAGCTCCTGGCCAAGAGAACATGAACTGGCCTCACATTGAGGCCTTTTTCCTTGTTGCTGATTAGTTAATCACTGTACTCACTTCTCAACCCTGGCTAGGGTTGTTCTGTTTTTGGCACTTGTATTATTTTTCTAAGTTGCATAATAACTCTGTTTGCTAGCTAGCCTTTGCTTAGAGTTGGAAGTTTTTTGTTGTGTTTTTCTTTTTCTTTGTTTTTTGTTGTTGTGTTTTTAAATTGACATTCTGCCTGGCTTGGTTCCCTAATGACTATCACCTACTGAAGAAAGGAACTGACAGATTCTAGGTATAGAAGGGAGGCCCTGTGGCTGCTCCCTCTCAGTTCCTTCACTTAGAGCATATTCCTGAAAAAGCCTTTTCCACTCTCCCCTCTGAAACTCCCCCACATTTCCACCTCCCTAAAGGCTGGGGAGAGGAGGAACCATAGATTACAATAGACATACGGGCTGGGTTTTGTTTTGGGTCTGTCTATTATTTTATGTATGTTTGTTTGTCGAGGGTAGGTTGTTCATGCTTAAATGTTGAGGCATAGGCCGGCTGGGTTTGGGGTGGACTGTAGCCTCCCTGGACTAGAACGGGAGCCTCCGGGGAAGTGATTTGAGAGGACACTCCCCAGTCACCAAACTGCAGCTCCTCAGAGTAGGTCACAATGTCCTTCACCTGAATCTACAGATTCCCCAGGACCATGACCCAGACCCATCCTGTCTTTTTTCAGGTTGTGGGCTGCACACTGCAGGAAAATTCAGCTGAAGAAAGGTAGGTTCCAGCAGGGCCGCCTCCCGCAGTTCAGCTTAAGGTCTGAACTGTGAACATCCTCTCCCCCCCTGCAGCTGCACTTGTTGACCCTACACCGCTTCCGCAGGTTACAGTTCTTCTGCAGCAGCTGAGAACAGCTCAGCTTCTGGCTGCAGCTGTGGAGACCTCTTAGGAGGTAGAGTTACGGGCCTTGTGGTCTCTGGCTTTCATGGTTTGCCATGTGCCAGATCCTAGACTTCACTTAATGTTCAGAATAGCTGCACTATAGTTCTGGACTATTTCTACACTTTTGCCCGCAACACAAACCACCCCATTATAGCTTATGAACAACCATCACCTAGGACTGCCATCAGGTGCTAGATGTGGATCCAAGGTTACAGTAGATCCAACCTTTGAGTCACACTCTGGGCACTAGAGAGGGAAGGCCGCTAGGGAGCATGAGCGCAGCAGTGACCTGGTCTACTCTTTTCTCTTCTAGATAACTCTTCCACCCAAGTGTACAACTACCAACCCTGCGACCACCCGGACCGCCCCTGCGACAGCACCTGCCCCTGCATCATGACTCAGAATTTCTGTGAGAAGTTCTGCCAGTGCAACCCGGACTGTAAGAGTTCTTCCTTTTCTCCTATAGTCTGCCAACACCGCCGGCCCCATGCGTCCCAGGTTCCCCTCCCTTTTGCTGCTGATGGACCTTTTGATATTCTCTTTGCTGCTGTGTTGTAAGCATTCTACAAGAGACTTAAGATATGGAAAAGTAATTAAAAAAAAAAACCTTACGCGTATGATTCTAAAAGCAACAATTATACAGATGCTTTCCCAACTTTACCTTCCAGGGAAAAAGTAAGAAACATGGGCATCTTTTTCCTTACAGTGCAGTCACAGCCTCCCTTTCCAGAATGTTTTGTAACATGTACAGGTCACAATTCTGTGTATACTTTAGTTTACTATCTGGAATTTTAATATCGGGTTGGTCTGTATGTCAGCAGAAGGTAGGATAGGGACTAAAGTGCTTCTCTTTTAGCCATGCCCTTCCCCCATCAAGGCAGTTTGATGGCAGCCTCCAGAGCTTGCAGAACTTGGTGCCCAGGCAGTTGTGCTAGAAATTCCTCCTAGCCTGTAGCAGTTATCAGTCTTAACCACAGCAGAGGGGAGGGCTGTGGGTGGAGTGGGGTGGCATAGAACGGATGTCTTCTGTTCTCAAAGTGGTTTTTGTTTTGATCATCAGAATTTACCAGTGAAAAACACTGATTTGATTTTTCTGGGGGCACTACCTCCCTTCCAAATTCCACCAAGGAGGAAGGAGAGCATTGTTGGGGGATCTCTAGGAAATATATCTCCATAGTCATGTCTGCTTTTTTTACTCTCAGGCATGTGTGTTGGGAGGCACTCCATATTCTTTGGGAAATTTTTGAGCATATGGTTATTGGGAAGGGAACGTCTCTCCTATTTTGCCAAATATCCTTGAACACATAACATTCACTTTTCTGCTGTCCCATGAGTCAAACCCAGCACTAGCCTGCTTCTCTTCCTAACCTCACCTGTTGTCCCACCAGGTCAGAATCGCTTCCCCGGCTGTCGCTGTAAGACCCAGTGCAATACCAAGCAGTGTCCTTGCTATCTGGCTGTGAGAGAGTGTGACCCCGACCTGTGTCTCACCTGTGGGGCCTCAGAGCACTGGGACTGCAAAGTGGTTTCCTGTAAAAACTGCAGCATCCAGCGAGGACTCAAGAAGGTGAGGGCTTTTCTCAGGATTGCCTGCCGGGTGGTGGAGTGGGAACGACTGAGCAGTCTCCAAGAGCCTGTTTTTGCTGGCTCCTTAGAGGGTTTGTACATGAACGTTCTTGGTAAATCCTAAACGACACACTTTTACTGAATTAATGAGGTGTTCTGTCCCAATGATGGATGAGAAAAGCGACCCCCTGAACCAGCCAGACAGAAAGGGGCAGAGAGGATGGACTGGTCCCTGGTGTGGTCTATTTTTACTTGACACTCAGCAGTGAAGGTCCACAGGTCTAGAGGAAGAGGGGGCATGTTTCCTTTCACCACTCCCTTTTCTGTTTTCCCTCCCAGAACAGAATGGCTGGGGCCTTTTTCTGTTTTCAGATCCTCTTAAAGAACAGTTGCTAGTTCTTTCCACCATGCTCTCCACCCACCATACACATGCACACCCAGCACACACACGCCCTGCAGTCTGAGGTTTGACTCCCTCTCCCCCAGCACCTGCTGCTGGCCCCCTCAGATGTGGCCGGATGGGGCACCTTCATTAAGGAATCTGTGCAGAAGAACGAGTTCATTTCTGAATACTGTGGTGAGGTGAGTGCTATCGGTTTGGCCCATACTCTTATCTGGGGAAATACTGATGAGAAACCTTGATTTTCTGTGGTCCAGACTTCTGTGAACTAATCTCTAAATAACTCAGCCAAATTCTCATGTGGACTCTCGGGGGATCCCACAGAACTGTTTGCAATCCTGAAACAAACCACTCTTCTTCGACTCTGGCAGTTCAGGCCATACAGGAGGTGCAGGTGGGGGGCTCTCTTCAACACTGACCAGCTTGGGTAGAGATTGGAAGGAAATAACCTGAGCTCAGTATGTTATGATTCTCATCGTGATGCTCAGTAAGCACCTGTATGTGACACTGCCCCTCCCAGTCCTGTCTAGGGACAGGCTATCATGCCTTGAATAGACAGCCTCATCCCCATTTGTTCCTTGACTATCTCTGCAGCTCATCTCTCAGGATGAGGCTGATCGACGAGGGAAGGTCTATGACAAATACATGTCCAGCTTCCTCTTCAACCTCAACAATGGTATGGTGTCTCTCTTTCTCATCCCAAAGTAGTCTTGAGCATGTCTTCCCACCAGATGTCCCTTGTTCTGGTCCAAGTTCAGATCAGCTCTGAATCTTCCAACAGATGCTCAGAGCAAGGTGGTGAGATTGAACTAAGACACCATGAGTCAGTTCACTTGCTTTGGGAGAACTTCCATTTCCAGGTTGTGTACACCTCAAAAATCTCCCTCCCTAGATGGAGAGAGGAGATCCATAATTCCAGCAAAGGTGGTTGGGGAGAGGGGGAGGGCAAAGAGGTATTCCCACGTGAAGCTGCATTCTTTCTTTTTTTTAATTTCATCACTACTGCAGCTGCATTCTTATACTGCCTGCTTTCCCAGCTCCTGCTAAAATTCCCACTGGATCGTCTTGTTTCTGTTACTGTTTGACTGATTTTAAATTCAGGCTCAAGCTGTGGAGTTACCTGGTGAGTTCATGGTCTTTCTTGGTCTACTTTATACAGACTTTGTAGTGGATGCAACCCGGAAAGGAAACAAAATTCGATTTGCAAACCATTCAGTGAACCCCAACTGTTACGCCAAAGGTGAGTTCTCAGTGACTGACCTGGAGGTGGACTGGGGATGTATGCTTCATTTACTATGATCTCTATCCATGATTAACTTTTTTTTATAGCTGAGTTAGTCTTTGTCCAGAGATAATCATGATTAATGTCTGATATCATTTTGATTCTCTTGGTTTTATAATCTTTTTTTTTTTTTTTACTGAATACATTATAAACATTTTTTCCACAAGCATGAATCTTTTAAAGATAATTCTTTCTCCGTATCACTAGCCAGAGAAAGAGATCTAAAAGCATAGAGGCAAAAGAAAAAGAAAGAAACAGCACAGAGGCAATTCTATTGACTACTTTCTAATTCCATTTCATTTATGTTTTCACTGGGAATTTGGAGAAAATCAGCCCTGAATCAGTACTGATTTTTGATGTGGGGTTGACTAGGAACTTAGCCCTGGTCTGTCCTGTTCGCAGTGGTCATGGTGAATGGGGACCATCGGATTGGGATATTTGCCAAGAGGGCAATTCAAGCCGGCGAAGAGCTCTTCTTTGATTACAGGTGAGGCAGCTGGGAATGGCCCTAGAGAGGTGGCCCAAGGGTGGGAAGGGTGGCTGCTGGAATTGATTTGGGGTTAAGGTGGGTGACAGGGCTGCAGGAGGGGATCTCACGGTGGGCAAGGCTTTGTCTTCGTTCTGATTTCCGGTGCCTTGTCTCAGAAGGGGAGCATGGAAAACTGCTTTAAGAAGTGGGAGGGGAAGTGAAATGGGAAGGGACCCTTATCTTTTTTATCACAAACGCCTGATAGTAATCTGGCTCCTCCTGCTCTGGGACAGGTACAGCCAAGCTGATGCCCTCAAGTACGTGGGGATCGAGAGGGAGACTGACGCCCTTTAGCCCTGCTGGGCTCCGTGCCAGCGCTTGGTAGCAGCACTGTCTTTGCTTTCGTGCACACGCCACTGCTGCTCAAGTTTCCTGCACTTTGTGTTTCTCACACCAAGAGACCCCCACCCACTCCTCTGTAGTGTGGCCTCAGCTGTGTCCAGTAGAGACAAAACTGTCTCAGTGAGAGGGGAGGCAGAGGCAGCTAGGGCCTGGGTTCCCAGGAAGAGAGTTGCCGAAGTCACTTTTGCATCTCAAGCCTCAGAGGAAGAGAGCTCAGGTGGGAGGTGGGTGATGTGTGCGTGATTTCTTGTCACCCAGTCGGGGGGCCTCAGGAATCAACTTGGACGGTTCCTAACAAGCATTAGCCTGTAATTGTAACTTTCCAAACTAGGTCCTTGTATAATTGAGTTACCAGCAAATTTCTCTGGAGAAGACAGGCTAAGTGAAGTTTGGTACCTGGAGCTGCTGGGTGGTCTGGGTTAAAGGTGAGCTGGCAGGCAGCAGAGACTGAATTCAGGGAGAGGTGGGTCACCTTACTACCTTTTCCTTCCTGGCAGGGCTCAACCTGAGAGTGGGCTCTAAGTATAGATATTCAATGCTGGGAGAAGGAAAGCTAAATGCCCTCCTTCCAGGGACAGTGAGAACCAGCCTGACAATAGTAATTAAACTGTTAAGCTTGAGGCCCAACAGGTTTTGAGAAACCTCTGAATATTCTGGAGATTTTCAGATGCCCTGGAGCAAGGGCCAGTGCATCCAAAGATCTCATGTAGCAACTCCAAAGTTCTTGTATAGCAACTCTATTGAAGAAGCGCGGAGGGGGATGCAGGCTGGCGTGAGTACTCTGGCTCCCTGGATCCGTAGTTGTCTTCAGGCCTTTCATTCCCCTTAGAGGCCAAGCCCATGGAACCCTGTTATTTATCTCTTCCATGGAGATGGGTACAGGCCTGGACTAGGGTGGGGACTGGCGGTGTGTTTGACTTTCCTGTCTGTAGCTCCTGCTGTTGGAAGAGTTTGGAAGTGGGTGAGGGACTCCCAAATTGCACGTGTTTAGGGTGGCATCATGTGGGCACTACAGACTGGCAGAAGGTATTTGAAGTGTTGAGAAGACTACTCGTGCCAGTCTGTGGTGCCATTTTCTCTGGGATTTATGCAGAGCAAAGCACTTTATTTCTTTTAGAAAAGCTGTAAGTTGAGGTAGAGTTTAAGCTAAGGTCTCGAGGTCCTTGCCCAATTCCCTTTCCTGAGGTAGGGGGAAGAAGAGGGGTTTTGGCTCATCGCCTGATGGAATTTAGTGGGAAAGAAGAATTTAATGAGAAAGGGCCAGCTCTAAGAGTCTGTGGTGAGCTGGCAGGGAATAAGGAGCATTGTGTTGGGTAAAAAGGACATGGGCAGATACAGACTGGCCTAGGGAGTTATTAGAATAGGGAGCAGGCTTCTCCCTTCCCTCTGGGAAATCCGAGCCCTCTCTCCCAGTCTGTGCTGACCACTCCCTCCAACCCCACTGGCTGTCCCGTGAAGCAGGAGACAGGATTCCCTCTGGCCAAGCAGCCGCCCAGGGGTTTTGTGGAGCATGTACACACACAAACGCACTCTCACTCACGTCCTCATGCACTCAGTAGGCATATGCCCAGCCCGCGCCTGACAGAGCCTCTTCCCACCTGCTTGGGCCAGCCCCACCATGATTCTGAAATGTGTATCTGCTGTGGTTTGTAATCAGTGTATTGGGGCACCTTCTGGCTGGACTGTGGGCTCTGAATTACTCACAGATTATAGGGGAAAACCATAGACAGATGAAGGAGGGGGAGGTAGGTCTGCCTGAAATGCCAGGGACTGACTGTGAAGAACAGATGGGGGAAATTACATCGAGCCTTTGAAAGGCTAGACTGACCCCACCCTTGCCTCAGTGTGCAGAATCACTGTGGTCAACCCCCCCTTCCCCACTGTCAGACCACTAATACTCCTGCTCCTCCGGCATTCCCATCCTTTTTCCTGCCATCCTCAGCCTTTAATGACGGGTGTAACCCCTCCCCCCAGACATGCAATGACGAATGGAGCAAGGTGTGGGGAAGGGGGGGCAAGGAGGCTGGTATATGTGCGGCTTTATTGCCAGTGAATTTCACGCACTTTAAGTCCTGTGGCTTGTGACCTCTTATCTGAATAAAGTGGCAGAATCCATTTTGGCAAGGTGTGTTCCGTGTGCTTTGGGGCTGGAATGACCCAGGGATGATGGTACAGGGGCATTTCTGCTGAAGCTTTAGCTTCTGGTCCCCACTTGTCCACGGAGATGGGGGGCTGGGTGAAACTGAGGATTGGCAAGAACCAGTCAGGCTCCTGGTAGGTGACGTAAGGATTCTGAGGGTTCCCTGCGGAAATTCCCAAGCCCTCAAATTAGTTCCCTTAAAACCATCCCACTTACCCCACCTGCTAACCACAACACCAGCCACCACGCACAGTCTGGGGCTCTGCCACTCCGTTTTATTAGAACGGCTCTCCTCTGAGAGCACAGCTTGGCGTGGAAGCCGGCTCGGGCTGGCAGAGTGACCAGCAGACCGCAGGGGACTGCCAGCACAGGAGGAGCAACTACAGACATGGCACAGCACCGGACAGGACAATCGATTGCTTTTTTCTCCTTTTATATATAAATTGATCATTTAAAAATTAGAATTATAGAATTTCTCTAGAGAGAGACTTTGCAACAACAACAAAAAAATATATTTAAAGAATGTGACCTCCTGGGCAAATGAAGCAGCATCTCTGAGCGGAGGAAAGAGGGCTCCTCATGCATTGGAGAGGGGGCTAAGCCTTTCGACAGGCATCAAGGCTATTGCATATCTTGGAAGAGGGAGGAAGAGTATGGAGCTGGCTAGTCAGTGCATCTGCATTATTTTCTCTACATTGCAAGTTTGTATGGCTTTGGCTAAAGCATTTGAAGCAGCAGAGGTACTAAAGTGCTAAACTGAAGCCTCTCAGTCTCTATAAAAAACAAAACAAAAAAGGAGAAGGAGGAGGGTAGGACCCAATGATGAAGCCCTCCCTAACCCCCAACTGAGTGGACACAGACAGGGATGTTCTACAGGGCAGGGGGAAGGCTGGGGGATATGTTTAGCAGCCTCCTCCCCCCATACCTCGTGCATCCCTGCAATCCCACACATCTATCCCTGCAGAGATTGAATGTTTGGAGAGAGACAGTTAATCTCCCCTGCACTCTGTTAATCCCTGGCAGCAGCTGGGACAGGGATGGCAGGAAGGACCTGCCTCAACCCCCTGAGGCTTTCTTTTTGAGGCAGGCAAACAGCCAGGAGCCTGGGGAAACGGAGATGGGCAGGGCGTTGGTTTAGGCAGTGAGGCTCGGCTACTCCCTTTGGTCCCATCTGTAGCTCTGCCCACCAGACTTGGCAGGAGGGGCATCCTCTGGATGAGCAGAACCAGCTAAACGGAGTCAAATGTCCCTGACAGGGTTGGGTGGAGAAAGGTACTGGGGAATTCAGGGAAATGGACTTGGTCCCTGAAGCCCTTCTGATTCATTCAGATCTGGACTCCTCCAGGATCTGGGGTAGGTTTTGGTCCCGGGGGCCAGGGCCAGGGGCTGAGACTGGGTGTGGGGCTGGGGCTGGTGCTGGTGTTGGAGCTGGGGCTGGGGCTTGAACTTGAGTGGAAGCTGGTGTAGGGACCGGGGCCTGGGCAGAGCCAGAAGTAGGTAGGGGAGGTTTGCCGCCAGGGTGGTAATCGTGGGTGGCCTTGGGCTCATTGGTGTGGTAGGAACCCTTGTAGCGATGGTTCTGCAGATAGAAGAGCACCAACATTCCCACCAGCCCCAGCAGCAGGAAGGCCACCAAAACTGAAAGAGGAAAATAAACAATTAGAGCAGATCTTTGGGGTTTCTCCTACAGACAGACAACAGTGTTCACTCTACAACCATCAGGCTTTCCTTAGTGTCTGGTAAGTCTGAATTCCTGGCGTATCCCCCGCCATCTTCTAATATTCTCTTTTCACATCCCTGGTAGTTAACCCTTCTTCTTTTTTAAACAATATTTTTTAATTGATTTCAGAGAAGAAGGGAGAGGGAAAGAGAGAGAGAAATGTCAATGATGAGAAAGAACCATTGATGGGCTGCCTCTTGCACACACCCCCACTGGGGGTCTAGCCCACAACCCGGGCATGTGCCCTTGACTGGAATCGAACCTGGGACCCTTCAGTCCACTGAGCCAAACCAGCCAGGGCAGTTAACCCTTCTTATCTCCCTAGATGTTACTATACCCCCATTTCCTCATTCCTTAGCCATAGCCCAGTCTTAATATTTCAATTAAAGTTTATAACATAAAAACAAAAAACAAAAGTCTATAGCATTCTCAAACATTTGAAAATCTCCAGTCCAATCGCATACTACTTCAGCGTAGCCTATCTCAACCTTCTTTGCACTGCCATGCTCTACAGGGCAGGGAGGGAATGCCAACAATCGGAGGGTAGCATCAAGAGATTAGGGCAGTGATCACACTACTTACAGCCTAAAAGTATGGCAACCCATCCGTCATCATGGTAGTAAAGGAAGTCTGAAGAAGAGAAAGCACCAGTTAGAAGAAGCCTCCGATACGGTAAGAATAATTTTCCTTCTCTGTTGTCCCTCCCTCTTCTGTGTCCTGGGGACATACCTGGGGGCAGGTACCAGGGATCCAGCTCAGGTGGCACCTCTGAGAACAGACGTGGCATGGCTCCACAGTTAGATTCAGACAGTTCTCCCTGAACACGAAGGGCCTCAGCCAGCTCAGCAGTCATGGGTCGAGGGGTTCGGAAGTGGGTTTTGAGGGGAGCCACATTGTTGAATCGAACACCAGACAAACAGCCCGAGAAACCTGGTGTGTTGTAGCGCTGGATCTCTGGGTCAATTACTCCTGTTTCTGGGGGAGAGTCAGGCCCAGAAAGGAAGGGCTTGGACCACCAATTACCCTGCCCTCCCTTACATCCATAGGTTTCCTGCTCATCAGCACCTGCACTGTGATTCCCAGTTCCTTCCC